TTTTTTTTTTTAAGATAACTAATTTATATTGAGTATACGACTGCAGTAATCGCTATACTTGGTTTTAGAATCCAAGAATTCAGGTTTCACTATAGCATATTTGTCATATAGCTATGCTCTTTTTAACCTATGCTCAATATTTCATGAGTATAAGATTCTATTAGCTATGATTTTCAGTTTGTAGATATGTAGATAAGTTATAATTACACTCATAAAAAAATCATAGGAAAAATTCAATTGTATCTATATAATTCAAACTAGTGTAAGTATATAGAAGGGCTATTAGTTATAGTGTGTGGTTTGTAAGTATATGAATTTAAAATTTATTCATATACATAAAAAATTGTTGGTATGCAAAAGAGTTATACCTTTGGTCACATATAATTATGAGTTTAACATTAACTTATACCTATAATTTTCCAAAAGCTGTCAGTATAAACTCATTATCAAAAATTTATAATAAATTAATTAGTGTTTAAAAAATGTTTTAGACTAATTTTTCTCCTTACATAATATCAATTTCCCCACTTTTCTAACGCTAAGTTAGAAAAAAAAAAAAAAAGGCTTAGCATACAAAATAAGTATAAAAAATTTGTGAACTACTTTAAATCATATACTACATTCTTTGTCAAATAAAAGAAAAAAAATGCAACAAATTTCCAAACAAATCTAAAATAAAATGTGTCATATCCATGGGACATCCTAATTTTACAATCTCTTAATCGTCCCTATCTTCCATGTCTCTACATATACATTATAATTCTCCTTTATCATTCAATTCTCCTTTAGAACTTACCGAAATCAACATCAACTATATGAATCCATACTTCAACAAACATATCTTAAGACAAGAATCATTATAAAATAGCAAGGAGCTCAACAAACATAAAGCATTTAGTCTCAATAAGGTTTTCTTCAACAGATACAGTCTCAATATTAATAAATATATCAATTCGTCAAAAAAAAAAAAAGCAAAAAAAAAAATTCTTAATATAACTAAAAACAGTTAGTATTCAATCCTTCAAAACCAATTTGTCATCTCACACTTACTCTTCTCCCATTTCTAGCATGACATCGACACCATTTTCATCTTCATCAACATCAGATCTAACCCAAGTTATATCCTTAGTGCTATCCCCAATTGATAGACCATTATGTTATACCCCCATATCCAAAACATCTCTAAACTTAGCAAACTTGACAATAAGCCAACCATTGTCCCTTTTATCCTCAACATAGTAGACTTGTCTAGTTTGTGATGCTAAAATGAACGAATCATCAAGTAAATTGTTGCCTTTATAGGTAAGATGTGAAAAGTTTATAAGAGTGAAACTGAGATTATCCTTCATGCAACCCCTATTAATATCAAACCAATCACATCTAAAAAGCACAAACTTTTATATGCCGAAATAATTCAATTCAATGATGCCAGTTAATACTTTATAATAGTTAATCTATTTTTCTACAAGTTGTCCACTATCATAGCTTTGATCTTTCACTATCACAACAACACCACTATTATAAGTTTTCAATGATCTCTTGCATTCCCTAGTGTGAAATCAGAAACCATTAATCATGTAACTTGTGTATCTTTTAACCCTATTGTTTAGCTCACGAGCAAGTCATTTGATTCAGTCTGGGATTTTTGCACTCCCTTTGTTTAACAAGTCAATAACCTATTCATTACATGATAAATTTGTAAATAAAATGGTAATAGCATAAATTAATTAATTACAAATTATATGCTACTTACATATTTTTCGAACCAAACATTAAAGGTTTGGCTATGAATTTTGTTGATCTCATCAAGTTTGAATTTATGAGAGTGCCTTTGTTTCATAATCACCTCCTTGTGATACCTACATGCAAATTTCAATAAAGAATTAAGTGTGGTATATGCCAACTAATTAGGCAAGACCCCCAAATTCACCCTTTAAAAAAGTACAGGGGCAAATTGCCCCTTTAAATTATAAATCGATACAAATCATCCATTTTTTAAGGTGTGACGTCAGAATTCTATTTGTCATGTAAGTATTTTTTAACAAAAAGCTGATATTACACATTAAAAAATGAGTGATTTGTCTTGATTTATAATTTG